AGCGTGATCCCCAGCAGCTGGGACAGGGGGGAACCCCTGAACACCACAGGGGAGAGACCAGAGATGGGGAACTCCTGGGAGGCATTTTCAGGGTTGAATCTTGATGTTTTGGAGGTTTTTATGGGTAGCTTGTGATTTCTAAAGATGGACTTGGGCAGGAGGAACCCCCGAATCCAATGTGCTCATGAACTGTATTTTTCCTCAAACCAGGATTTCCCATTCCCAAATCTTGGCCAGATGGAGAAGGAGGCTGCTGTGAGGAAGAGGAAGATGCTCCAGGACACCCAGGCAGGTGAGGAGGAAGTCAGTGCCCCTTTCCCCCTCTCTCCTGCTCCATCTCCCAGCCCAGCCTGGCCCCCGGCTGCAGGACAACCCCGCTGCCGACGCCGTCCTGCCGGGGATGCACTGGGGGGATCTCCTTCCCCTTCCCTCTGGCACGGAGGCAAATCCCATCCTCTCCTTGTCCTTCCTCCCCGGCTGAAGGACAAGGAGCTGAGGATGGAGACCAGGGAGGACAAATCCCTGCGGCACAACCTCGTGGACAAGGTCGTTCTGAGCAGCTCCACGGTGCAGGAATCCAACAGGGAGGAAAATCCCCAGAGATCCCGCAGGAGGAGGGGCTCCAAACCCATCCCAGGGTGCTCTGAGGAGGAAAGACCCACCCTGTGCCGGGAAGGCGGCCGGAGATCCAGCCAGGGCTCTGAGCTGGTGGTCCAGGAGCAGCTTCAGGATGGGGAGAAGCCCTACAAGTGCTTGGAGTGTGGGAAGAGCTTCAGGTCGAGCACCAAACTGATCTGCCACCAGATGATCCACACTGGGGAATGGCCCTATCAGTGTGGGGAATGTGGGAAAGGCTTCAGCTGCAGCTCCCACCTCATCATCCACCAGCGCATCCACACTGGGGAGAGGCCCTATGAGTGTCCCGAGTGTGGGAAGAGGTTTCGGATCAGCTCCAGTCTCCTCCTGCACCAGCGGATTCACAGAGATGAGAGGCCCTTCCGCTGCCCTGACTGTGGGGAGGGCTTCAAGCAAAACTTCACCCTCATCACCCACCGGCGCATCCACACCGGGGAGAGGCCCTACGAGTGTGGGGAATGTGGGAAGAGCTTCAGCCACAGCAACAGCCTGATCTGCCACCAGAGGATCCACACTGGGGAACGTCCCTATGAGTGTGGGGAGTGTGGGATGACCTTCAGCCAGAGGTCCCAGCTGACCATCCACCAGATGATCCACACTGGGGAGAGGCCCTATGAGTGTGGGGAGTGTGGGAAGAGGTTTCAGACCAGCTCCAGTCTCCTCAAGCACCAGCGGATTCACACGGATGAGAGGCCCTTCCGCTGCCCCGACTGTAGGAAGGGCTTCAATCAAAACTCCAACCTCATCAGGCACCGGCGCATCCACACTGGGGAGAGGCCTTATGAGTGTCCCCAGTGTGGGAAGAGCTTCTCCAGGAGATCTCACTTGACCCAACACCAACAGAGGCACCGGTAAGGGAAGCCCTGTGAGTGCCCCAAGTGCAGGAAGAGCTTTGTGCACTGCCCCAGCTCCATCCCCCATCAGAGGACCCACGTTTGGCAGAGCCCTGATGACCCACGTTCCCAGTGATCTGTGTTGGGAACACACTGGGCTGGAGGTCATTTTATTTTGGTTTCAATTATCTTTTGATTCATCTTCATCTATTTAAAACAGAGAAATAACAGAGTGGTAAAAATCAACGAATTCATCAAAGGCATCTCAAACCTCACATTTTACTAGTGCTTCAAGGGAATCTGGGAGGTACTTGAGAGTATTTGGGGGTTGTGGGGTTATTTGGTGTAATTGTCTCCATTTCTTGTCACTCAAAGAGACGAGAGGCTTCTATCTGTCACCTCAAAACCACTCTATGCCACTGAATCCTACTCAATCCCTCTCCAAAATTATTCAATTCTACAGCCCCTCAGGGTGTGATGCCTTAAGTTTTAGCTTTCATATTTTTCATATTCTGCGCTGCCTAGGTTTGTAGTTTTGAACTTCGTATTAAGTGTTAGTGAGCTCTCTTTACAGAGTAGGTAGACAAAGCAATTCCTTTTCTAGCTTGATACCAAGGACAGTCGTTAGAAGTTTCAGGCCCAAAAGCATAAACAAGGGTGGACTGAAGAGAGAAAACAAGAAGGATGGGACTTCATCATCTGAAGCTGTAACTGGACAATTGTAGGTTTTCCAAGCAAGGCAAACACCCCAATTCAGGAGCCAGCACGGTGGCCCCCCTTGGCCACTCGGGCCAATCTACCCACAAGACATCAATGTGATGGGTGGTGAAGCAATGGCGTTTATTGCAGGAGAATTTGACCTTTTATAACCTAGGGTCATTGTGTTACTCCCATCTGCTTACGTAACTTAGATGCTATTGATCTAATTGCAAGAAGCCTTGCTGTCTTAACAGAGAGGGGTTTTTGCAAACTTTCCGTTACATCCTGAAATCTTCCGCATCGCCAGGCCTTAAACTACAACATATTTCCCCCCTCTCTATGAATAACTAATTTGCTAAAATATAAGGTATATTAGTCTTAAAAATTCTAATGTTATTTTTTATATATGTATTTCTAAACACTTTGTCTAACTTATCTATATTATAAAAGTTTTTAAAATGGATAATATAAAATTGAGTAAAATATAAAATACTTAACTAAAAGGCTAAAAACTTACAAAATAGATACTACAATTTTCATTGGTAAATATAAACACATGTAACAACTAAGTGTATTTTAAAGCATTTGTTGCCTTTCTATAAACAAAATGTTAACTTTTTCTAATCGGTTCTTAACAAAGGACACAAGCTTATTTAGAATACATGGTCCAAAGATTAGCACGAGTAAAATCATCAGAACTGGTCCAATCAGGGTAGACACCAGGGTAGCCACGGAGATTGGTCAAACCAGGACTGGAACCAGCTTTGCTGGGCTTCTCTCTCTGCTTTTCGCTGAGACAGCCTGTCCCGTAGCTCTGCCATGGTGTGGTCTGCGTAGAAGCAGCACTTCTCTTTCAGGGCGATGCAGAGGCCTCCTTGCTGCATGAATAGAAGGTTGAGACTTCACTTTTTAGTCATCTGTAGCTAAAGCAGTCTCTGTTGTTGGGTCACGATGGCAGAGACACCTGTGGCAGCACCAGCTGCTCTCAGGTTAAGCAGCATCGCTATGGTTACACCTGTCACCACTTCTCTTTTCTGAAGTTGGGTGAGTCTCTCCACTTGCAGGCTCAACTCTTCATCCAGGTGGTACAGGACTCTGGGGATGATAACAGCTAATACACAAAAGTCAACAGAGGAGTTAAAGCTTGGGTATAAATACAAGGGCTAGACTATTAGATCATGGGTTCTCAGCCTGTACTACAAAATTGGGGCTCACTGCTTCAGGTGTTATAACTATAAACAGCACAATTACTATGAACAGTTTATCATGTAAATGACACCATGCTTACAAACTTACAACTAAAACTTTAGCGTTAAATGAACTTTCAAAGATGCTTACATTACCTCTTAAAGAAAAATACTTATACTTTATACTAACATAACAATTACTACACAGGCTAAACACTTTATCTTAAACTCTTATTTAACTACTTTTAACATACATGTTCTGGTATATATGTAATCTAAGCATGAAAGCAATTTGCTAGAAAAATAAACACACAATTACAATTTGCTTTGTATATAGTTAGATGGAGTCTCTACACTTCCCAAATCTTCTACAGAATTTCTCCAACACGATTCAGTCTTGGAACGTTCACTGCTCCCGTGATGTCAGCTGGCAGCTGATCGGTGACTGAGGGCTTTGATGTTCAAGTTGTTCTTCAAACCCTTCTAGATCTTAAAACAAAGGATAACTGAAAAATTGATAGAGACACCACATCATAATAATAACGTAAAATTTCTGTTGGTAAACTCTCTGTGTAGTGTTCAGACACAACTGTGTCCTGACAGCTCCACTTCTGATCCATGTCTGGAGTACCAAGGCTGTGTGATGACATCTCTGTTCACTGGATCTCGTGTGTTCAGAGGCACACAGTCTGGTCAGATGGACAGGTGACCTTTTTGAACCTGCCAACAAAACACAGGCACTTCTCTCCTTGAAGTTAATGAATTACACTAATTAAATGCTTTTAGGGCATCAATCTCCCCCGTTTTCTTTAAAAAAAAAATAAAAATGAGATGTACTTCTGTTATAAACATCAACATCAACACAAAACCATATACACAATTAGTAAGAACTTATACCAGTTAAAAATCAATTAAATCATAAACATTATTAATAACATATGTAATATAAAACTACTATTAATTACTAAAACACTGCACCAGCATCCCATAGTTAGCAAGCAAACAGAAACAAAACAATCAGTGAAGGATTGGGTAATCACCTCTGGAAATGATTCTCCAAGCCCACTTCAAAATTGATCCAGCTGTCATTATCAACAGGGTCAAATTGCTGAGTCAAAAATTGACTCAAATACTGATTTGGTACAGAAAACATCTGGATATGTTGGCAAACATTTCATCCAGGTAAAGTCAAGGCTTGGCCAGGGCCTGGCTTTAAACTGGAAAGATGCCTCTTAACTCATTTCTAGAACAAGGTTCTCAATAGTAGCAGCTATGAGATGCTTACAGCACAGCAAACTGTTAAAATGCATTTGTACAAAGCAAATGATCAGAAGCCTCAGGTACCAGACCAATTAAACCATGCAGCAGTTGGTTTAATCTGAAGCCTCTCCCAGGGCAGCTGATCCTCAGCAATGGTACATCTTCTTAAAATTCTGGAAACACTGAAAAATATGAAAGCTATAACAAACAAAACTGCAGAGATTGCAACAACCAATAGAACCCCTGATGAAGTCAAGGGTGTCACAGACTGCATTCCCTTCTATCCACAAGCAGGTGTTCATCAGTGCTCCATCACTGCTGTTTCAGTTGTGGCTGTCTTCATTTCTCTAAGAAAATAACTATACTTTGCAGTTTAAACAAGTGTCTCAAATAAAACATAAAACAATTTAAATTAAACAATATTTAAACCTAACAATAATTATTTATGACAAAAGGAAATAACAAACTTAACCTTAAAAGAATATCTAAGTTAGAAAACTTAACTTAAAAACATTCAAGCCTAAACATTATAAAACTTGACTATCCTTAATTCTATTAACACTTAATCTATATTAAATAAAAACATAACTTAATCTTATTCTGTTACTACAAAAAAGCAACTAAAAGTTTGATATACACCTTTTAAACACAATATAACAATAACATGGATTCACTATAAAGATTATAAAAATGTAACAAACACATCACAATTCTATGTCATCTAGCTTTGAGAATAACCCACAATAACTGCAAATGTTACTAAAAATACTTATTCATAATAGGAATTTGCCTAGTATATCCTTAAATTGATTAGGATTTTAAATTGCAGTTTTTCTAGAGAAAAAACACAACAACACAGGATTTGGCAAGTTGCCATCCAGCTTTTGTAGCACTTTTCAGAAACATTAAGCCCAATTCTTAAACTAAAATCCAAAATCCAAATTGGTATATATGCAGTTATATGTGTTTTATATAACAAAAGAACTCACATTGAAATTACCTTATTAAAATTGTGGAAAAAACAAGCAAATAGATAATATATACTTTAACTTAACTTTGTTTTGTACAGTAAAGTTCTCTTAACTAATTATCTTTTAAACCACAAATCTCTTTTGTAGATAACATTAATTGGAAGGTTTTCCTAGAAGCTGTAAATCACACCATATTTTAACTTTAGGTTTTAAAACTAATTATTGCAAGGCAACTTCTGTTAAACACTTTTTCTCTCTCTTTTTTTTTTTTTTTAATATTTCAAAGAATCACAATAACTTCTCTAGTAAAACTCTAAAAACTGCAACTGCATAAACTCATAATTACTTAAAACACAAAATTAACTCTAAAAGGGTATATAAAAACATTTTGAAAACCCAATAAATCATGACTCTGTAACAAACTGGGTATTATCTCGGTGCTTTTTCTTAGAGAGGGAGCGGGGGGGGGTGAACTGCCCACCCTGCTGCTGCTCTCTGTTGCTGCCATCTTCTTATTTCTCTCTTTTCCTCTGGCGTTATTTGAGTCACAGTTCTATACTTAGCACAAAGATAATTATCAGCTTCTTCCACAGACCATTCACTATCTTTCACATAATTCAAAAGGACCTTGCGTTTGCTTAATGACAAAGATTGTGACGGCCTTGGAGATGGCTGTTTAGGTGTTAAAGGGGAAGGTCCCGGCACACTATCATTTAGATCTCTTTATTGACTTTCAGTGTTCTTAAGTCCACTCACAATTGCATCGTGTGCCTTTTTATACGCTTGTTTTACAGTAGCAGATTTTGCATCACGATCTAAACATTGCATTTCTTGTAAAAGTTGTGTCATAACGCTTGCTTGTTGTGATAGTAAAGTTTTTAATGTCTCTGACTCAGTCTGGGGATCAGGAGGGAGGGGGACTGCAGCTGGGTCAATTTCCATGGGCAGCGGAAGGGCAGAGGGTGGCACTGAGTGGTTTACAGGGGACAATGTCTGCGGGACTTGGGAATTGCCGTCTTATGGCGGAATCAAATCATCATAGGGTCTCTTACGTGCTGGAGCAGCAATCATATGAGGGGTAGGAATATTTTTGTTACTCCAATCACAGTCATTTTCACTCCTTGGCTGCTTGTTACTCGACCTTTCAGCTGCTTTTCCTTCCGCGGCAGCGTAAATTCCCTTCACAGATGCCTCGATCTCAGCCTCTGCACCCAACTGCTCTATCATTAATGTAACTTGATGATACATTTGCGCTAGAGCTTTAGCTTCTTTTGAGACAGACTGTACAGCTAGCCACAGATCTTCTCCCATCCTTTTCCAGGCGGCATTAGTAAAAACATCGTCAGTCTCAGTGATTAATTTCTGCCACTTTGCCCAAAATAATAAATCTGTCAGAAGCGTACGATCTAAAGGAGTCCCCGCTTTCTGACTCATCCGGAGCAAGGCTTCTATCGTAGCTTTCTCCACGGCTGATACAGCATT